CCATGCCTTTTTTCCACCGTCCCTCCGGAACTCCGGCCAGAAATTCGGCTCGTTTTATTTCAGAGGTGTGTAACAGGGCTGTCCCCGGGCCCTGCTCGAATACACACGTCCCACTCAGCAGCCAACTCATACCGCAGACACGGTTATGTCTCGGAGATATTTTAATTGTCGCCTCAAAGCAACTCTCTCGCCCTGATGCGAGAATTCTTCGTGAAACCCCGTGAAATATGAGGGAACTTGACGACTCGCTAATAACCTTCCTGGGCAGGGGATCTCGAATTTTAAGTTCGCCGACCTTAATTTTTTCGAGTGGAGAACGTTTTCGCTCGTTCTCTGACGCCTCACGTTCCAACGTTTTGCTACAACGTGCCACGAATCTTTTATTCTTCCCAAGGATGGATAATCATTCCTGTTTTTTCATAATTCGCGATGTAAATTTGTTTCGAGATATAAAAGAAAAATCGCTCTTATTTTATATATTTTAATGCGCTCTTTTCGACTCAATACTTTTCATGTTTAGAGTGAAATATATACATTGTGATAGTATTTTATATAATGGATAAATTTGCAAGATTTATTATTTATGATATGCAAAAAAAACACAAAATATTCAAAGTACGCATTTCTCTAATTAAGTTCTATATCTTTAATTTATCAAAACATCTACATTCTAATAGCTCAAGAAACAATCTTAAAGATATAGAAAATCTTTTATCCAATTTATATAATACAAATTAACTTAAGCATTTCACTCTGAACTATTCAACGTAAAATGAAATATAAATGAAAATTCAACGGATTTTTAATGGCAATTAAAACGAGCAATTGAAAAAAATTTGTATAAGTACAAAGCATTCGACACTTCCTCAACCTCTCCATCATGCCTTCCTACCTTAAATATCCCCTTCAAATTTCCTCGACCGGCGTAATACGCTTCAATCACGATAACGCGACTCCATTTCAGCGGTTCAAATGAAAGCAACGAACAGTGACCGAGTAATTCGACGGGGGTGGCGACAGTCCCGGTTGGGATTTCATTTCGCGATAGTCACGGTTTGATTTCCGTGGCTCAGGTGTCTGGAGAGAAGAAAGGGGGTTGGGCGCCGATCCGGAAATTCGCGGCCGCGCCTCTCCACCCCTTCGAAAAGGGGTGATCGGTGGTGTGAGGGGTGAAAGAGCTCGTTTGTTAACATGTTCGTCCCGCGTGCGACTTAAATCACTCGAGGAGACCGCCGATAGACGTCTCGACGTCAAACTGGAAACTTTCCACGGTCTGGATTAAATTGGATCCTTGGGCGGAATGATGGGAAGAAACGAAAATTGGAAGCTCAAAAGATGGCGTGGATTCGACAGGATTCGAACGGGGAAAGTCCAAGTGCCACGGCGAATAACAATGAGCAGGGATTTCGATTTCGCGATGGTTTTCAGAAACTCGCCCCTTCATGAGAAGGATGAAGAAAGATGTCAGTTTCCGAAATTTTATATTAAACCTATAGAAAAGTGAATTTATCCTTCTTCTTTCTTTTTTTCAAAAATGAAATCGAAAAATGTAAAGATAAAGATTTGTAATTTTTTTTTAATATATCTTCTTAAATGATTAAAATAAGAAGAATAATTATCATTTTACTAAGAAACTGGATATCCAAGAAATTATTCTGATGAGATTGCTTAATCTTAAGCAATTCTAGGTCGGTGATCAGTCAAGTTCTAATTTTTTATTCTAGCTTTTTGATTTTGTATAATAAAAACATCTTTCCTATTATATTTTTAAACCTTTCTAACTTCTTGCAATAATATGCTTCAATGTTTAAATAATTTTTCAATTTTCTACGAATAATTAATAAATGTGCATTTTCTCTTTTATATTATAAATAATTGATTTGATAAAAGAGATTTTCTAATCTCAAATTTACCAAGGAACGAAATCTGTGAAAAACAATTTATTCCTTTTCGTCTTCGAGATACTTCCAGCCATTTGTTCACGCAGGCAGCTAAGAGAAAGAGTTATTTTAATATCGCGACTAGTAGCTACTTCGTATGCGCGCCGTCTCCAGTCGTGTTCCTCTTCTATCATCCCTCCATCCATCTCTTTGCTTATCTCGGCCACTGTAATCGAAATGCTTGGCGTCGGTAATCCTTGGTCCGACAGGATCAAGCATCGTGAATTATTTTTGGAAATCGCAATTCGTAATTTCAAGCCAAGTGATATTTGAGAATAATGACGATTCCTCGTTTCAAAGAGAAGAAGCGTAAGAATTAAGACAAGACGGTCCTCACGATTATCGAGTTATGGGAAATAAAAGAAAAGATGATGAAGAAGAAGAAGATGAAGATGGCGGAGAAAGTTGATCAAGTTTGAATTAAAATTGACTCGTAGAAACTTTTTAATAACTCTTTCAATTTCTCATTTCACCATTTAAGATTGAATATTTC